TTAACAGTGTATTTTTTTGGACAATGGTTGAACATGTTGAATTGAAATGTGTTCAATGAACAGGTTGAAGGAAATCAGTTATTTCTGTGTACATCACTACACTAAAATTCTGATTGGTACATATGCAATTGTTGCATGTTTCCACAGTTTATAGGTCAAAATATTGAATAAATTTAAAGGTGCTTTGGTTTGTGATTGAAAACTCATCAAACAGGATTGAAAGTGTATCTGAAGTTAGAATCGTTCACTCTGCTTCTGGTTTGTGATTGAAACAGGATTCAAACAGGTTTGTGAATGAAACAGGATTCAAACAGGTTTGTGATTGAAACAGGATTCAAACAGGTTTGTGATACCAAACTTGGATGTGTTCCTGTGGTTTCACATTTTTTCCATTTAAATTCACATATTTCCTTTTTGAAAAAAGTCTAGAAGATGGAACTGCAATGGGAATGTACTCTTTCGTATATATTCTGTGAAGTTAATTTCTCAAAGGGATCTGTAAAAGAGCGGGGAAAAAAATAGTTTTGAGAGGTATCAAATCTGTCAATGTTATAATCAAGTGTTTGATTATTTTTTCTTGCCCTTGGTTGTTGTTTCCTATTAATTCCACCTGAATTTGCATAGTGTTGCTTCCTTTATTACAGTAATGGGGCAAATGCCCAAATGTGCCTTTCAGATTGAGAGCATTTCCTTCTCTTTTTTTTCTTGTTGGAAAAAATAAAATTTATATTTTCACCTGGGAAAAATCCTGCTGTTTCAACCTTCATTGGAGCCCAATTTAGATGTCATTTTTCTAAACAGGATTCAAACAGGTTTGTGATTGCATTTAGCTTATTTGTATACTCTGGCTCATTAGCAAAAAAGGATACTAGTGCATCATGAGCAGTTCACTTGACTTGAAATCATAATTACAATCATCTACTTAACAAGGCTTAGCAGCCAACCAGCCCACCCTAATAGCATATTCATATCATGTTGTCACTGTATCTCGTACCTGTTTCCAAGCAATAATAGCAATCCCACTAGGTAAAGAATTCATTCTGTCTTCCCTGATGAGAACAATAGTCTGGTTGTGTCATCTTGACATCATGTCTTGTGAAAATTAAATGAAATTCAAAATCATTCAAGGATGTTAGCTTACACTACTAGCTTCGAGACACTGCTTTTACTTCCTTACACAATTTTCCACATTCAAAATGTTGCAAACTTTTCTTCCTTCACAGTCTATGAGCAAACTAAATAACTAAAAAGGAAAAATGTAATTCATTAAAAGAAGAAATGGTGGGACTTAAAAGACCAAAAACATTAGTCTCTTCCTCAAAATTTTTAAACAAGGAAATTCCCAAAACCTAGCTAAGACACAGAAGGATAAGGTGCAGCATCATCAGCCACGTTAGAGTCACCAACATGGCTCCATGTGATCATAAACTAAGCTTGTATTGTTCAATAAATAAGTGTGTATGATACAAACTTGATTATTAACGATGCATCATTCCATAAAATAGATTTGGGTTACCATCCAGCCTAACACAGGTAAGAAGTTAGATAAGTCGAATTCAAAAACAGAGTTTTTTTGTTGTGCAAATTTACGTTAACAACATTGTCAAGGTGCATCATATGTGCGCAGGCCAGGGCCTAAATTATGAAATGGACAAAAACCAAAAGTTCATTAGGATTGAGCTGTACATATATTCTATCTAATCTATTCTACTACATTGGTATTCTATCTATCTTATAATATCTGTACATATATTCTATCTAATCTATTCTACTACATTGGTATTCTATCTATCTTATAATATCTGTACATATATTCTATCTAATCTATTCTACTACATTGGTATTCTATCTATCTTATAATATCTGTACATATATTCTATCTAATCTATTCTACTACATTGGTATTCTATCTATCTTATAATATCTGTACATATATTCTATCTAATCTATTCTACTACATTGGTATTCTATCTATCTTATAATATCTGTACATATATTCTATCTAATCTATTCTACTACATTGGTATTCTATCTATCTTATAATATCTGTACATATATTCTATCTAATCTATTCTACTACATTGGTATTCTATCTATCTTATAATATCTGTACATATATTCTATCTAATCTATTCTACTACATTGGTATTCTATCTATCTTATAATATCTGTACATATATTCTATCTAATCTATTCTACTACATTGGTATTCTATCTATCTTATAATATCTGTACATATATTCTATCTAATCTATTCTACTACATTGGTATTCTATCTATCTTATAATATCTGTACATATATTCTATCTAATCTATTCTACTACATTGGTATTCTATCTATCTTATAATATCTGTACATATATTCTATCTAATCTATTCTACTACATTGGTATTCTATCTATCTTATAATATCTGTACATATATTCTATCTAATCTATTCTACTACATTGGTATTCTATCTATCTTATAATATCTGTACATATATTCTATCTAATCTATTCTACTACATTGGTATTCTATCTATCTTATAATATCTGTACATATATTCTATCTAATCTATTCTACTACATTGGTATTCTATCTATCTTATAATATCTGTACATATATTCTATCTAATCTATTCTAGTACATTGGTATTCTATCTATCTTAGTTTGAATCTTAGTAATATTCTTGCATTATAAAATAGTTTTTCCGCAATTTTAGATTATGTTAACTTTTGGAATGTGCGAACAATATATAATTTATGATAATTTTGTTTAATAAAAATATAAACTTCATTAGGATTGAGCTGTTATACTGTGATAACTTGACTTTCCTAACACACTTGTTAATAACTTGTTTTTTATGCAGAAAAAAAAAATGGCTTCATCTTCTATTGATAATACGAACTTAAGATTAAAGCAAAGGTTTTGTAATTGTGGAAGAATAGCTTCCATGCGTATTGTACGAACCAATGCGAATGGAAATAAAGGACGTGTCTATTTTGTTTGCCCAAGAAAATATGTAAGTACCTGTTATATAAATGAATCTGTTACTTTTTACAAATTTCATTTGTCCTTCATTGATTAATTGATTCTTGTCCATTGTAGGATTCGAACGACCACTGCAATTACTTCAGGTGGTTCGCAGATGATGACGAGGACGACATTACCTCATCAATCCGTGCCAATGCTGACGACGACGACATTACTTCAAGGCTTGGTGAGCATGATAGAAGGCTTCAAAGGATTGAGAACATCTTGAAGGCAGTGACTTATGTCATTGTATTTTGTGTGTTTTTGTACTTTTTCTTGTAAATGACTCAGTTATTAAGTTTTCGAACATCCTATGAATGTAATCTACTTTTCTACTTGTTTTGTAATTTTTTTTTGGTGCTTCAAATTCTGAACAACTGTGAACAGGTTTATTTGAGATGAAATGTGTTGAATGAACAGTTTGTGAAAACTATTGAGTTATGTTGGTTGCTTATCAGTGTGTATTATATGTGATGGTTTGAAAAAAATAGGTACATTAATTAACAGTGTGTTGAATGAACAGGTACTTAACAGTGTATTTTTTTGGACAATGGTTGAACATGTTGAATGGTTGAACATGTTGAATTGAAATGTGTTCAATGAACAGGTTGAAGGAAATCAGTTATTTCTGTGTACATCACTACACTAAAATTCTGATTGGTACATATGCAATTGTTGCATGTTTCCACAGTTTATAGGTCAAAATATTGAATAAATTTAAAGGTGCTTTGGTTTGTGATTGAAAACTCATCAAACAGGATTGAAAGTGTATCTGAAGTTAGAATCGTTCAGATTCAAACAGGTTTGTGATTGAAACAGGATTCAAACAGGTTTGTGATTGAACTGTAGAAGTGCCTCAACAAATGCAATAGACGATGGATTGCAAGTGTTCTAATGGTTCTAGGAACTGTTTCTTCAGACCTGACAATCCTAATTAGCTTATTTGTATACTCTGGCTCATTAGCAAAAAAGGATACTAGTGCATCATGAGCATCACTAGACTGCACGAGCACAATGAATGCAGGAAGACAGACCCGACTGTTCAACCTGCATACTCTAGGAGAACGAAAGGCATGAGCATATCTGATTCTGGTTAGCAAGGAGAACCTGTGCTCAGGAGGTACATTGTAGCTCAGGAGGTACATTGTAGTCCTCAACACGGTGCTTCAAAAGCAACAGATCATCCTCCTTCCGGAAATGGAGATATGGGATGTGAATAACACACCCATGTGAACCTATGCTGCTGTTGTGCCCTTACACCAGCAGCTGCATCTGTTGTGGCCTTACACCAGCAGCTGCATCCGGAATGCTGCCATAGAATGGCACTATAACAAAAACCAACAACAGGTCAGTGTGCTATTCCACACTTACACATTATCTTGTGCCCAAGACAGGTACTTCACAATTTGCATGAGGCAACAGTAAATAGAATGAAATATTATTCCACCTTTCCTAGAATGCTGCCACCAGGAACAACCTTACACCAGTGGCTGTTGAATCCATGCTGTTTGTATGCTTCATATATATGCATAACTAAGATATATGCATAACTAAGAGATATGCTTCAACAGATTACATATGCTGCTGCCCAACACAGTACCAGCAACTTTATCTTACTAATGCATATATATGAAGCTCATTCGCCTAATTCCTAATCTCTAACACAGTACGACCATCCTTATCGTAGTTATGTATGAAGCTCATTCTCCAAAGTTTCAGCAATATTTGAACAGAAAATTCAACAAAAATGAAGCAAAAACTAATCAAAAGTTCATCAACATTTGAACATAAATTTTAGCAAAAATTTAAGCAACAATTGAAACAAAATTTCAGCAACATTTCAGGTTTTGAATATTACATATCCAACAAAATACCCTTCACAAAAATTCCGAAAACAAAATAACACTAAGATGTTCGCTTGTGATCGACATCCCCATGCCCACGGCCACAGCCACGACCACGACCACGACCGTATAGTACCTACAAAAAACAAGATATTAATATTACATCAAAGGAACCATAAATTAAAATGGAACTTTAAATGAATTAATGACAAAATCAATGAGGAAAGGTGAAAACTAAATTACTTCACTACAGGCGGGACTATTTGAAGCTTGCGAGTGATAACTACTTGCATTGTTAAGCAATGCTTGATAGGTTCCATGGACGGAATACATCGATGGCATTGAAAAATGCATATTGTGATGAAGAAAACTTGGCTGCAACAATAGCAAACACATATCAATCTAAAATGATAATAGTCACCTACAAATCCGTACTAACACTTTTTATTAAACTAACTTACATCATAGGCGGGATACATAAATTGAGATAGAGAAGCTCTAACTTGAGGAACACTAGGCGAGAATGGAGGAAGTTGAGGAACACTTGAAAATAAAGGAGCCGACTGAGGAATTAAGGGAGGTGCTTCAGGAGCACTTGCCGGAAATAAGGGAGGACTTTGAGGAGTAACAGACATGGAAGTTTGAGAAGCATTATGTGAACTTGTTTTATTTTTCTTTGCCAACGCAAGCTCCAAACCACCTTTTGTCCGCCTTCGTCCCTTGCTAGTGCACTCTTTTCTCTTGAGTCCTTTTGCTTGGACTACATTTTTATCCGCTACACCATCCACTTCAAAGCTTTCGGGGCATGTGTTGGGGGGGCTTTCTTGTTGAATAGTATCTGAACAAGGCATATTGAATTTTGCGGTTAACATGGTTTCAATGTCTGCAATTAATTCTCCGCTTTCTCGACCGTCAAATTATATGTTTCCTCACTTTCAGAAGCTCTACACGCTACTGATATGAATATTGCCATCAATGACCTATAACATGAAGTTTGATGCAACCTTACATCAACCTGAATATCATGCCCACACCTATCTTTCACATTTTCAGATCTTGCTTTTTTAGTCCATCTCTTCAAAATATATTGTGAAGGAATCTCTTTCAAATTGAGTCTTTCTCTAAGGATCTTCAAACAATGACTACACAAAACGGTACTCTCACCGTCATTTTCAATTTCTTCAATGTTGACTTCAAGGGACTTGACATACTCATCCTGAAATTCTTCAAAAATTTTATTTGTGTAAACAGCTGCAGCTTGCTCCATAATCTTCACTTTAATATTCACCCTGGACAACTTTTGGCATAGAGCATATTCAGCTTGTAACTCTTTGTACCTTTTCTCAGACAGAACTCGATCAAAATGCATGAAAAATTGCATTAAGTTATGATCAGACTGAATGAAATCCTTCAAGAAAGCATTAAAGGATTCACTAAGTTGGGTGCTACTCATGCCCGCACCCCATGCATTTCTAACATATGGCCAACCCCATTTTTCCTTCACCTCAAATGTTAACTTCAACCAATGATTATCTGTTACTTCATACTTGTCAAGCATTTCCTCCCATTTTAACATAAACTCTTCCTCATCCTCAATGTCGTACATAAACGTGTATAAAACACTCTTCATTCCCTTATCCTTCATCGCCTTATCCTTGAAGATAGAATTTGCATGCCTTAATGCATTTTGCATCAAATGCCAAGTGCAAAGGCGGTGGGTTGTGTTAGGCATGAAAATAGTTATGGCCTTAGTCATTGCAGCATCCTGATCCGTAAAAATTGTTTTTGGAGCCTTACTTGACATTGCCTCCAAGAATCTTCTAAAAAGCCATACGAAAGAATCGGCGGTCTCATCATACATCAAAGCTGCACCAAATACCACAGTTTCCCTATGATGGTTTAATCCAACAAAAGACGCAAATGGTCTATGTGCACTATTTAACTTGTAAGTAGTGTCGAAAGTGACAACATCACCAAATTGCCCATAATCCATGATCATCTGAGCATCGGCCCAAAATATGTTTGTAATCTGCTCTTCGTTATCTAATTGGACCGAGTAAAAAAAAGATGGATTCTCCAATGATTTGTCACGAAAATATTGCAAAATGCTACCTGCCTCCCCATATGCTAAACTGTTTTGCCTCTTCGTTCTCAAATAATTTTTTTGGTCAAGTTTTGTAAACCCAAGCGACTCCCTTCCACCAACTTCATTACCCATGAGCTCAAATGCAGCATTAAGACGGATTCCAGATTTTTCGGCTAAATCTATTTCGGTTGCCTGTGATGCAGATATCTTCCTTTGGGATGGTAACATATGCGTACATTCTGCTGGTACGAAGATATGATTATGTTGTTCAACAAAATCACTAACAAAAAATTTCTGAATATTCCTATCCCACTTAATGACAACTCGGGCTTGACAACCAGTCCTCACTTCCTGCCTAGGATTTTTTGTTAATGAATCTCGCTTGTCGACAACCCGAAATCCTTCCTTATTACAAACAAATTGCCTTGAAGTGATTTGCCCGTCTTTGCTCTTGTTTACATAACCCCTTCTAATACTAAAGCCCAACCTTCCTCCATAAGTATTATAGAAATCATATGCTTCTTGTTCTGTATCAAATGTCATGCGAACTCTAGGCTTCCAATCACACTCACCCCCGTCATTCTCATGATTGTTAGGTTCCATATCAATGTGCCAAGTCACTTAAAAATAAAAAAGTGCTCAATATTAGCATAAAAACTGTATACAAACCGAATAAGATAATTAACGAATAACAAACGTACCACCTGAATATATATAAACAAACAAGGAAAAATTCTACTAATTAATAATTTTTACACTCTTATGATCAATAATTAGTAGACCATATCAGGAAAATTCACTAGTAAAGCATCAGCTACCTTTCCATATTTCTAACTAGTCATTTTCTATAAATTGAAATCCCATGTTTGCTAACTAAGAGTTCAAAGGAAAATTAGTGCAACAAAACTAAAAAAACTGATCATCTGCTTACTTTAATTTGTATTTCCTTGGGCCTTAAATAGAAAATACTATAATAATAAACATTTTAAGTTTCTTCTTCTTCCTCACATTTAATTAGAAACCAAATTGACAAAAGGAAAAACAAGCACAATAGACACTTCCTAAATTAATAATTGACAAAAGGAAAAACAAGCACAATAGCTTTAATTTTAGTTTATTCTTCAGTGTTGAGATTGAGGAACTGATGAGTGACAAAAATGGGAAAGAAACAGAAATTCTATTTTTGAAATAAATTCAACTCTTAATCTCTTATCTTCAGTAAGCATTATTTTATCGGCTGCCAAACAAAGGAGGAGGAGGAGAAGATTGGGGAAAATCTCAGATTCTGGGTGAGACAAATGAATAAATAGATTTGAGATTCAGTAAGCATCATTTCTTGGACATTTTCAAAAACAAAATTCTCGAGATATAAAACTATACTGTTGAAGTGTATTGAGACAAATGAATAAATAGATTTGATAACAAAAGAATCGTGACTGCATAGATTGATTTATATCATAACAAAATACCAAAAAGGGCAGGTGTGTGTGTGTGGAAGCAAGCATTGAAAATCTCTACACAAAAAAGATAGAAAATCGAAGTCAGACAACAATTTACAAACCTCAATCGCGAGCTCCAGATCTTCTGTAATTTTCCGAGAAACTGGACAGAAAATTGAGAGAGAAAAACAGAGAGATAAAAGGAGGTTTGCTTCTTCCCACTGGAATGATATTCCGACGGGATGCACGGCGGGGGCGACCTGGTCTGTAACTTTTCTTCCCTCTCTCCTTTCGTAGGTCTGCTTCTTCCCGCTGGAATCATATTCTTCAGCCTGGGGGGAATTTTGAAATCGGCAAAAAATGTTTTTTTTTTTTTTTTTTTTTTGGAAGTCCTCACCAAAACGACGTCGTTTTGGTGAGGAGTATTCTGAGCCGTCGGATCATCCACTCTAGAGGATCACTCTAGAGAGTTACTCTAGAGGATCCGCTCGCCTATCAATAGAGAAGTTATTGGTTGGTGGGGATGGCAATTGGAACTCGGTCTGATGGGGATCCGATCTCCCGACCTCGATTAGAATGATTTTTCTTCGAAAAATATCTCCGTAGGGACGGGGATGGTAGTCGAAATTAAATCCCCGACTAGGTTCGAGCCGGGGACGGTGATCAGTGTTCAAGCCCCGGCCCGTCCCCGTTCACAACCCCGAATTTTTCTGAAGTAAAATTACTATTTTACCCCTCTTTATATAGGTATATAAACCACCCCTTTCACACTTACACAACACTAGGCCACCTCTCATCTCTCTCTCTCTCAAACCCTTCGCCGATCGCCCTTTTCTCCCTCCTCCGCCGATCGCCCTCCTCTCCCCCTTCCGCCGATCTCTCTCCTCCGCCGATTGAGCCACCACAACTCCACCACTGTTTGCGGTAGTCCGACAATGACACCATCACCACTGTTTGAGCACTTTTCCTCTCTCTCTCGATCGATCGATTTGTTATATATATATGTTAGATTTGAAATTTTTTTTTTGAGCTCATCAGATCTGTTAATGGTGATGAACAGATCTATTAGATTTGAATTTTTTTTATATTTACATTTAAGCAAATCTGTTGTATCTAATTTATTTACATTTTTGTTTATTTACATTTGAGCAAATCTGTTAATGGTGATGAACAGATCTCTCTCTCTCTTCGTTGTTGTTGTTGATGATGAACAAATCTGTTGTATCTAATTTTTTTTTTTTGCCGGAGATTTTTCGGGGTTGGGGAAACCCAATCCCCGTTAGGGGGTTGGGGCGGGGGCGGATATAGGTTCCCCGTCGAGGATTGGGGCCGGGGACGGGGGGATTTCCACCATCGGGGATTGAGGACCGGAGACGGGGAGAGTGATCCCCGGCCCCGCCCTGTTGCCATTCCTATTGGTTGGTCTTGATGATATGATTGGTAAAAGAGGTAAGACTCATAATTTTATGTTAAGTGATTAAGAATAATAAAGGGATACGGTAATTTGTGATTGTTGAAAAATACCAACACGTAACGCACCTAAACCAACCAATAATTTTTCCTATCAATCTCATGCAACATGTTCATATAGATCTTTTAGAGAAGAATTAAAAAAAAAATTATAAATTTATTTAGATCACATTAATTTTTTATAATAAATAAAAATAATAATTTGTAAACTATATTCAAAACAATCCGTAGTGACATTTAAAAAATTGCATTAAATGCGGCCAATGATAAAAAATAAATAAATAAAAGCTTAATCCCATAGGGATGACCTCTGGGAGTAAATTCTAAAGAGTCGAAACCCCAAGGGTCATTCTTAGGTGGTACTACATAATAGGGTCATTCAATTATATAACGGTAAGTCGCAGACTTATACGTAGATTGGAGTTCAAACCCACACTCCTAACATTGAGTATAATTTGCTTAAGTCTGGAAGGTTTGTCATACTACCTCTATGTATTACCGTCTGAGTAATTGACTCGCCTTAAAAAGAATGAAATCTAAAATCTCAAAATTTATGTCTCAAAACTTGACAAATTGTCACACTTCTGAATTGTTAAACGCCAATGATCATCAAGAAGAGTTCAGTTTTCAGACTCGAAAAGGACAAATATTTAACAGTAATATTTGGTGGCTCAAAAATTCATGACTTGAATAATTTAAATGTATTATAACAACGTCATTTTGACATATTTAAACTATTTAAACTATACAAATTTAGACTATTAAATATTTAGGTGCCGTTTGGTAACACTTACGTTTTCAGTTTTCTATTTATATTTATAAAAAATTAAAAAACTTAAATAAAAACTTGTTTGGTAAAATTTTTTATTTATAAATCAGTGGTCTCAGTTTATAAATTTGGCCAAAAAATGAAAACACAAAAAATGTGTTTCCATTTTGAGTTTTCAGTTTTTTTTTTTATCACCCAACATTAGCCACCACCCGCTACCATTTTCCACCACCGTCTTCCGGCACCACCACCCACTCTCCACCACCACCTACCACCACCACTCACCACCCACCTGCTACCACTTAACTATTCATTTGTGCTTGTAATTAGTTAGCTAGGATTAGTTAATTAGTTTTGTTTTGTAATAACCCACCGTCACCACTTTCCACCACCGTCTTCTGCCGCCACTTGCCACCACTTGCCATTTCTCACTCTTTTTTATATTTTAATTTTTTTTTAAACATTTTGTCAATTACCAAACGTGTTTGTAATTTATGTTTTTCTAAAAATAAATAAAAACCAATTTATAAAATTTTACAAATATAAATTAAAAACATAAATATTATCCAACACACCCTTAATAGTCGCTTACATACCACGTCTGAAAAAATTATATTTCAATTATCACAGGAGGAGACTGGTGTCAGTGTCACCGTTTGTTTCTTCGAGATTTATAAAGCCAAGGTAAGGTAAGGTATGGTGACATCTTCAAACAAAGTGATGACACGTTCTCTATTTATTTTTATTTATTTATTTTGGAGCTGACAATTTTCTCACGTTGGGTTCCATCCCATCTCCCATGCTTTATAATTTGTGTGAGTTTTTTGCCCTAATAAGAAAGTGGGGTAGGTTCAAAATTTACTCTGGACTAGCTTGAAAAATAAATATTCATAATTTACTCAGAAAGTAGATTTATGCCTCGTTTGGCAAGAGATTATTTTAGTCAATTAGTCAAAAAGTTACTAAATTAGCTAAAAAGCCAACAACCCATACCAAAAAGTCAAAGATTCTCTTTTCTCTCTACTTTTTGCACATCTTTTCGTAATTAGCCAAAAAGTCATCCCAAACATACAAGTTTTTTTTACCTACCTTTTTAGCTAAATAGGTAAAAAATTACTAAATTAACATGTTCCCAAACGAGGCCGGTAGAAATTGAATGAGTATATAGTGAAGTCCATACATATAATAAAATCGCACGTTGTAAATTTTAGATATATAATTCTAAGTTTAGTGATAATTCGTGCCATGTACGAATTTTATAAATTAAAAAAAAATATTATAATTATCTTTAAATAATTTAATATTTTATCTTGTGATATATATAAAATTTATAAGATAACTTTTATATTTATAACTTTTTAAATTATTAGTTTTAAAAAATTATATATATATATAAGTCTAAAGTGCAATTTTGATAATTTGTATTAAAAAAAAAGTTAAATTTGATTAAATGAGTTATGACATACATTTTTTTATTATGAAAATATATAAATTTAAAAGTTATAATTAAGACAAATATACAATTTTATTATTAAATGCGAAGTGAATTGATATTTAACAATAATTGTGCGGAGAGCAAATATTCAGACAAGCCCGCACTCCTTTCTTCCAAGCTCCTGCCTGTCCGATCGACCTGTGAGCACAACAGCGGTGAGCTACCCGACGGTGTGTGGCCGGAAACCCCTCTGACGATCAAGTTAGATACACACACAGGGATAGAGAGAGAGAGAGGACTGAGTTATGTTTAATGTTTTTCTCACCAAATTGTGTCATCCTCCAAGCATGGGGGGCACAGATATGCTTATATACCTTCTGCGCCCCAAATCTACTCCCAGTGATCTCTCGACACGTGGTACTGCTATCCCATCTGTCAGCACAAATCTTGCTGAACATCACCCAACCCGACTGCCAACCCACTCTATTGG